GATTGATTATCATGCGTGCAGTGCACCACTTTGGAGGAAGGGGGGACCTCTTCCGAAATGCACTCGGCGTCAATTTGGGCCCAAATTGTACATGTGCATGTAACATCCGAAGTGCTGCATGGTCATACATGAATTTCCCGGCATTGTGGAATTGACGGTTTCTGGATTGATTTGTGTGAGCGGTGCTGCATTCGTTAAGGCTAATCTGGTGTATCTTGCATCAGCAATCCATTGCGCATCGCCTTTGCAAAGGGGTTTTGGAGCACTGTTTTAGCTGTTGAGCTGATTTCAACTGTCACGGAATTATCAAAATGGATTTATTGTTGTTGAATGGTTCCCCCCCACCTTAGGTACTTGCAGCCAAAGTGTTTTCTTAGGACCAAGTTATAATGGTGCGGTGATTTATTCATGCCCACTGTTCAGTCCTGCCATGCATTCTTGACTTAAATCCATACATTTTCAGGTTGGAACAACAGTTTTCAGCCATTTAATCGTATTCGGTGGTGTTAAGTTACATTAAACAGAACTGCAGGGCAGCCAAGATAGAAACCCTTCTGTTTTGTGAGCAATAATGGGATCACAACCAAAGTTCTTTTTTTCTCTCTCTCTTTCTCTCTTCAAGTAACATGAGAGATCACAAGTCTTGTCACTTTGTGATTCTTGTTTAATGAATCCTGGTCATAGCTGTGAGGTAGATGTAGGCGTAATGGGCCTCTGCAAGACCACGTTGATGTTTTGCATGATCCAGGGCTCAACCCTCGCCTGTGCCGCAACCATTACCACCGGGCGCATCAGGCCGTCAACTTGTACCTGTTACATCCTTAACGCTGGACAAGCGTTGCCCGGGGGGAGGCAGGGCTGCTCTGCCCTGATCTTGTGTCTCAGCATTAAGTCCCATCCGTTGCATTATAGATAATAACTGATCAGATTCGGATCTGAATTCTCAAGTGTTCCTGGCTCATGACAGTGTGGGAGGCGATCCAGAGACATAATGGAGTTGATCTTTTTTTCCCCTCTTTTTTTTTTTTTTTTCTTTTGAGTGACGTGAATAACAGCAAGTGCTTTAATGAACTTTATGGCCTGAAGAACTTGATTTTCTTTCTTTCTCTCTCCTTTGGCTTGGTCTTATTTTTTTTTCTTCTCGGCTTGATGGCCAAGTGACCGAAAAATAAGTGGGAGAACTGGTGTAGTGAATCTTTTTGTCTGGTGACTGGGACTTTTCCCCCATCACAGCGAGTGAACCTGCTCTGCTGCAGCCCCGCGGGCACTGTCCAAGATGAAATAAATTTCCTTTTTAGATTCTTGTGTCATAGTCTTCCCCTCTCCTTTGCGTTCCATTTGCCGTGGGTGGGCCCCGAGCGCTTTGTCATTCCCGTCGCTGTTATTGTGCACTCTTGAAACCCTGCAGCCATTTTCATCAGCCAAAAGTGTGTTTGTGGATTGGTCCTGAGCACGAGTGGGGATTTTGCATTGCCACAGCGGACTGTAGGATACCCAGAAGGGGCGATCTTGTCCACTGATGAAACATTTTCAAAATCAGGACACTTCTAAATGGCTGGTTTTTTTTTTTATAAATCCTAATACTCTTTCCCTATCCTATTCTGCTGTAAATCATGACTAACAAGTTTATCGCTGGTTGCAAAAGGTCAAGCCGTACATGTAGGTGTGTACCTCTTGCTTGTAATATTTATAAACTCCAAAATGGTCTGATTTTTGACTGGTTCCAGAGTGAGCTCACGTTGTTTACTGATTTGCCTGCTCTTAGTAAAATGAAGTTAATTTTGCTTGTTCATTCCTGCATTCTAATTGAACACAGTTGGTGGCAGGTCCCAACGGGACTGTCCCCGAGACCCCACCCAATTAAAAAGGGGAAGTCGTAGCGCTGGGGTAGGGGCTCACAGGAAAGTGGCTTTTGGTTGGCTAGGCTCTGATTATATGCGTCAGGTAGGACACCTGTCTTGTGAGATTTGTCCTGAGAGTATGCAGGGCCAGAGATAGTGTCGTAAAATTGTTGGTGCTCATTACCGCTTTATGGCTGGTTGTACACAGGGAGGTGCTTTTGGTGAATTTTTGTATTGTAGACTCGGAAAGGACGTCTGTCATACCCCTTTTTTTTGGGGGGGGGGGAGGAGGACGTTGAGAAGTAGGGACTTCCCTTGCACTTGGATTGGACTAACCAACTTCTATGTTGTGTCTGAACCCAGTCTGGCAGTGGACTTGCAGTATCATCAAGGACGTCTGACTAGATCCACGTCTTTACTTGACAGCAGATGAATCTAGGTCGGGGGTCAGTGCCCTTCACTGAGACTTTGAAGAGGGCTTTATACAATGCACTCACATATGTATCAGCTAGAAATAGGTTTGTGCATGTATGTCACAGGTTTGACATGTAAATCAAAGCATAGAGAGAGGCTAACATTTTGCCACACAGCTATACCTTTTTAATGCAACAACAGTTGCTGTATTCATGAATGTTTGCCCACCACTGAGCTTAAAAGCTTTCTGCAGCTGTGAGACTGTTGAGCCTAAAAGTTTCTCCAGCCAAGGAAAAAACAAATCTAGTTGACAAGTGATGAATTATTAATGGGCAAAGATAAAAATTTCCGATTTCAGTTGTTGGTCATATAAAGTCTTGAATTAGTCAACCATTTTTATCTTGGCTGATGGGTTTTCTTCATCCCCATTTAGTATATATGCAGTACCTCACATCTCTAGTCTTCAAGTCATGACTCAGAAAAAGCATCAATGTTAGAAAAGGTTTGTTTCCTGTATTTGTGGAGACTGATGTTTGCTTCTAAGAACAAATGCACTGCAATTAAAATGAAAATAATGGCTGAACTGTGCTGGAATAAAACGTTGGACCTTGAAATGTTTGCCCATGTGTATTTGTATTGCAAGCTTCCATCCTTTTTCTTTTTGGGACGTTTTATTTCAAGTGGATGAAGCTACAGCTCTGGATAGCATTTTGCTCACTGCTAATAAGACCCATCCAGGGCCCCATTTCATGGTGCTGCTTACCTTTAAGTAAATTCTTTGCTAACCGTAGCACAGAAATTTGCTTACAGGGAATACATGGAAAGTGTATTTCGCAGCGAATTTTTGTAGTCACTGACTTTCTGGCATCATGTTATCAACTTCTGCTTCAGTGTAATGGTGTCTTTTTCGTTAACAGGAAACATTCATATACAGTTGCTTTTAAAAGTTTTTGTTTAAGAACTGTTCATATAAAGAAAAAAATCAGCATTGATTTGAGTGAATAGAGGAAGAGTTTACTTACATGTGTATTGATTTTGTAGGGGAATTGTTTTTTCTTTCATTTTGTGTGTGCGTGTGTATGTTGTTTAAGGGACTATTGCAATGTTGTGAAATTCAACGGAAAGGAACTTTTCATTGTAGAAAAACAAAGTGTATGAGCTCAAGTGAAGCAGAAGTGAAATATAATTTGGATGAAGAGAATTTTCAATGAATCTGTGGCCACTCTCAAATGACTGAAAATGAGGCAGAGCCTTGGGTCAAGCTTCCTCTTGTTAAACGCCCATGGAAACTGTTGCTCTGTACTGCCTGTAGGGTTTAATCCTGAGTGTGTCTGTCAGCCAAATCTATGCACATTGCAGTGAACATGCACGACAGGGTACAGCCCACTAATTCAAGCCCCATTGAAAACAGTGTAAAATCAGCACTGTTCACGGCCCGATAGCATGCACGCCAACATCCCTGAGGTTTCTGAAACACAAATGNNNGTGATTTTTCCGAAGTTTGATTGCAGCCATTTTTCAACCCTCATCTTTCTTGGGCACTTTTTCAACCGTAGTTTTTATCCATTCTGCTCTCATATGAAAGCTGCCAGGGAGTTGATCCTGGCAAGGTTTTGCACAATCTCGCCATTTTGGGGGTCAAACAATCTCCTTGTTCAAAGATATTGTGGGGGCACTTTTAATGCTAATGAGCTGGCCAGAAATTCTAACTTGAAATAGTGGTCTGCACCCAGGGACTCAGGGCCAACAGGGACAAATGCTTCTTTTGATGTCATCTGAATATAAGACAACCCTGCCACCAGTCTTTTCAAAAGTAGAAAAGAGTTGTCTTCAATCTGGATATGGAATCAATGGTATAATCTTTTCTGCAATTGAGTTCTTTGGGGCATCAAGTCATTGTTGTTTCGTACATGTACAGGCAGTGGAATGGCCATTTCTATGCAAGAAAATCATGTTGACTTGTTCTTTGAGGTTCCTCACCTTCAAAAATGTCACTTACATGTACTGATGATTCCTGTTGCTGTGTCCTGTCATTCATTTGTTCTGGTTTATGTATACCAGTGTACTATACCAACTATGAAGTCTGGTGGATTTGGTTTACACTAAAAGAGTTATGATAAAGATAGTGATTACAGTAACCATTAGGGAGTTAAAAACAATTGATAAAAGGCCCATATGAAAAGTTACAAATACATGTACTACCAAAAGAGAATAAGAGTTGCCAATCATTTTGAACTTTCTGCATTATACAGAATTGCAGATTGTATCTTAGAGTTCTAATTGTGAGATTATCCACCTGCCTAGTGTTCCTTGAGGTATGCTATAATAAATGTTGGATGGACCTGAAGTGATGTTCTTTAATTTTGTCTTTGAAAAATCTTTCCCTTTTCACAGAGCCCCTGTCCTTGGGGAGTTCAGTCATTTGTCTTTTTACTACTCGTTAGCCCCTTTTTACTTTTGTTACACTAATTACAAAAAACTGTTCATTGGGCCTGCAACTCCTCTGAATGTGCAACCATTTCAATTGCTAATGACAGGCCCCCTTAATCTGTTGGTGGGAAAGTACATGCCAGGTACCCTGATAGGTCCAGCCTGAATGCCCTTTGGGATTGAAGGGAGATGAGAGAGAGAGGGGGGGAAAAGCCAACAGCATTTGGCAGGCTTAACTTTCCCTCATTCTCCCTGGGCATAATCCCTCTATGTTTTCAGTAGGGCTAATCCGTCTCTGTCTTTTGTTCTGAACAGAATTCCAGTGGAGGGGAGCCCAACCCGGACCTTTTGGCAAAGTGTGCTCAGGGATTAAAGAAGGAGCATTCTGATGCATGAGGTGGTTGGAGAGTCATTTAGGAAAGTACAGTAGGGGAAAGAGGCAGACGAGACGAGGAAGGGGGCCAAGTTATTTAGTTGAGGGTGCCGTGGTTCCTTCTTCACAGGGTGTTGCTCTGAACGCCCAGGATTAAATTTGTTACACTACCTAGACAACGGTATTGGCCCACAAGCTACCTAGGACGAATTTAACCATGACAGGTATGTGTCCTATAATGAAAATCTCCGGGGGTGTGAAAGTCTCAAAGTTATGCGTACTATTTCTAACTGTTGTAGACTTAGCAGATTTTGTTTTGCTGTGCCAATTTAGAATTTGCACAACCAATGAAGGGGTTCATAATGCACAAAAATCCAGCTTTTTTCCTTTTTTAATGCTAGTATATTGCAAAGGACTGACTGAGTAACCCAAAAAAATGCTTTGGAAATATGACAGTATCAGTTTGCTGGTAAGAATTTGTGTACTGACTTTGTCAGAAATAGTTCAGTATAGCCAAAAATCAGATCCATTGAACACATTTCATTCACATACTGTACAGAGATTCTCACCTACCAAACTGAAAAAAAGGCCTTACCTCATCTCTACCAATCATAATTTACTCCCAACCGCTTTTAATTCCCCTAGTCCTTGGCAGGACTCCAGCATTGTCCAACTTCACATGATTACATTTATAAATGCATATCCCTCGCCCTTGACCCTATTCCCATTTTCAAAGAGATAAACACATTCCAGGCCCTGGCCTGCAAGATAGACCAACCCCTGCTCACTTAAAATAATGGCCCCAATGACGGTGTGCATGTGTTGTGTGGTGTGTGTGCCTCTTGCCTAGCCTTGCCTGGCTTTTCCCTGGCTTCTAGCCATTGTTTCCTTCCACAGCAAAAAATGCCACCAATTAGGTTGTGCTTGACTGCTGTAATTGTCTCCCAACCAACCAGCAATCACTGCAAAACCAGGGCCTGGTCTTCCAACTTTTTTTTCTCTTCTCTGTATCTCTCCCAGGCTGTACACTGTATATATGAATTTTTCCCCTCGGCATACCAGCCTGGGTGCTGAATAGCCGATTTCCACCTCATTAAACCGATCCATTCAAACAGCTGGTGACTTTGAATCCCATGGACCCAAAGTCACAGGGGCCTCTCTCCCTCAATGGTGCCCGTCTTTTTTTGTTGTCCCGTTTCTGGACAAATTGTTTCTGTTCACTGATGAGAGAGCAAGTGAAGAGCCCCTTGGTTCAAAGCTTGTTGTCGCCAGTATTGCTTGGAGTTGACAAAACGAGTAAGTCACACCGGTGTGTACACTGTATGTGTGTGGGTCAGTTTATACCATCTTCACCAGTCAGCTGGGCTGACAGACAACATTCTTTATGTGACACAGTGATTGACCAGGCGTAGAGAGTTCACCAGATTAAATTGGTGCATGTCTTGAGCTGCCATTGTGCTGCAAGTTACACTCTGGTCATGGTACACACATCACCCAAGCGCATGTACACAGGTCAAGTTTTTTTCCTCCCCTCAAGTATTAATGGGGCTGATGTATATAATTCATTGTGCAGGTTATTTTTTTTTTGGCTGGGTGATGGTGTCTTTGTTACCCTACAGCACCATTGTCTTTCCCCTAGAGGGGGTACCAAATACCAGCCATGCGTACATATACTGAGTAATGGATCCTTTATACCCAGCCAATCGCTATTCACAGCTAGCTGTTTGCTGTTTGGAAACCCAAAAGCCCTGGTTAATCAAACTTGATACTTGTTTTCCATGGCTTTTTTTTTTTTCAACCAGAAACATGTTCTTGTAAACTTGTCTGTTTTGTGCATTTTTGGTACCCTGTTGCAATTGATCAGTGTCAGAAGCCCACAAAGGAATCTTTACAAACTTAGAGTATTCATGCAAGGGTTAAAGTGCATAATTATTGTGTCTGTTTCATATGAAAGTGATCGCTTTTCTTTATCAATGAAGGAAAAGCCTCCTGGAATGTGTTTTTTTCCTCGTGGCTTGTGACTTTCAACCAAGCAACTTTTATTTTGTGTTCATTTTGTTAGAGAAGACTGTTTTTTCCATTAGTATCTTTTTATGTCACAGTGAAGGAAGTAATAATTGAAATCAAAGTGAATCCAGGGGAATGTAGTTGGCTGAGGAATATTGACTGACAACATTACAGTGGGAAAGACCTGTTTGAAAGGGTCACTGTGGACAGCCATTTGGAAGATAAATTTCGAGGTGACCAACTTTGTGCTATCATTATGCTCCAACAAGATCTTGCATCAGTGATATACACCATCAGTCTCTTGAGGAAAAAACTGAGTAGTGTGGTCATTGGAGCAGATACTTTGTCAAATTGTTGAATCTGAATTCATGAGTTGGAGGTTCACCAAATCATTAGTTGAATCAACCAGATTGTTTGGGTCATGTACAAGCCTATTCACACTCTTACAGCTGTTGTAAAACGTTCAGTCTCTGTCACATTTCAAATATCAATGGACATTTTATGCTTTCATTTTTTTTTGGGGGGGGGGGTGGAGTGTCATCCTTCAAAAGCTTTCAAATCTCCCCCCCCCCCAAAAAAAAATAGGGTGTGGCACAAGTAAACACAGAACTGAACTCTCCCAGCAGAACTGAACTCTTAATCACGGAGTGAAAAAAAGTATAGATGAGGACCCTCTAACAAGTTAATTGTTCAAATGTCATCCATGTCCAGACACAGGAACTTGGTTGTGAATCAGCATGTGTGACATGCCCATCCCTTGGGGAGTGGGGAAAGGGGGAGGGGAGAATGAACCAGACAGTGTCATCCCTCTTCTGTCAATCTTTTTTTCCTATGCTCTTCCCTTCATTTTCTCCCTTAGTCTTAGCACCCTATAGGCTGAGCCGAGATGATGGCTCCCCCAGGTGTCCAGAGTGGACTCCCCCTTGGCCAAAGTACATTGCCCTGGCCTGAGGGCGCTCCTGTGGTCAAGCCTTTTGGAGGGAGTGTGTTGAGTGTCCATACCTCTGGGTCTGGGTTTTGGCTAGCAGGGGTCAAAGCACTTGGGATTTAGGACCTCTGTTTTGGTTGGATCACTGAGGATGGCACTCACCCCCCCCCCATCCAGGAACACTAGTGTCACCCCATAATCAGGACACTTCTTCTCTGGTCTTAACAGCATGTTTGGGTTTGAAATTTGGTTTCACAGGTCATGTTTTGCATAAGCAGCTGTGTCGGAAGTGCATGCATTTCTTTCCACCTGGTGAGAATTGTCACTAAATTAAAGTAACAATAACAAAACATGCAACCCTCTCCCACAAAAACAAACAAAAAATGCTAAGATGGCTGCAGTTGTACGTGTAAACCAGAAGTACAACTGAGTTAGTGAAAAACAAATTGTGTAGTGGGTTTCTCTTTTTTCTACCGAGAGTCTCTCAGTTTCTGAAAAATCCACTCGGAGGTTTTGCAGGATTGAGGAAAATGTGTTGTTTCTTTTACATGTAAGGTCCTTGGAGTACAAGTTCAGAGAATGTTTAATGAGTATGATACACATTGGAGCAATTTGGTACACAAAAAAATAAGGTTCCCAGCGTTGGAGGTTAGTATAGATGACAGAGTATTAGAAAGCTTGGAATTGATATTTGGGACACATGTTGCGATTCAAGTGCCTATAAGTCATTGATGTGTGGTACCCCAGGTGTGCATATCTCACTGCAAGCTCCCACAAACATCACCAGACTAGATCTGGATTTGTGTTGAGGGAACGGGAGCAGACAGCTCATCAGGTCGCAATTGTTGAGAAGATTTTCCTGCCAGGAGAGTCATCATCCAGGCTGAAAAGGTTAATCGTAATCCATGTTTCTCCAACAACGGTGCGGTCTGTACAAGTGGATTTAAATGCCAGTGACATTTTAATTCTTCAAGGAACTTGTGAACCTTTGAACTCATTTTTTTTTAATTGGTGAATCACCCCTGACGGGCTCTCAACACTTCATATTGTTTTCACATGCATATTGATTTTGTCCAGGCTCTTTGTGGTGCAGTCACGGTAACGGTCTGATTCTGTCAAAGATTATGCATGACGATATGTATCTGCCTTCCTGGTAACTAGTGAATTGTGAGGGGGAGTCTGACTAATGACAGTTACCATATTGACTGGGTGTACCTGCAGGTTCTTGTCAACTTCCCCCACCCCCCTCAGAAAAAATTTAGCTCTGAGAAGTCTCAGGTGTTTAATTGAACAGCTGCAGGATTAGGGATTATGACAGAGGATGCTGTAGGTTTGATTGGGAAAATGAGTTTGTGGTCAAATTTGAAGGGGTAGAAATACTTCATATGTCCAAAATGATGCATAGGCCAAAACCCCTAGTGGCCTTTCTGGTTGGATCTGGCTCCCTCTATATTTGTATATGTCTTTGACATAGAAAGCTTGTTTCAATTTCTGAAGCTCTATCACCAAATGATATTCACTGAATATTAATATCCGGACTACAGAACCGTCCACAATGCATTCCAGAATTGACAGTTTGAAAAACTGCCGATATATGTATATGGCTTACCAGGAATTTTGAAAATTGCCTCTACTAATGTGATTTTGGAGATACCCACATTCAGTTCATCCAAGTTACATGCACAGGTTATAAATCTGTGTTTACATATTGGCCTAGATTCCTGGGACTGAACTGTAATTAAATGAACTGATGACAGATTGATGAAAGAGCCAGGGAACGTGGAACAGAAAAAGAGAAAATGAAAAAAAAAAGTTTTAATGAGTTTATTGCACTTGATACAGACCACCCAGTGCTCAGGAAAATTGGCCCAGTTCACCTTACAAGCACCAGGCAACAGCATGGCAAGGTTATTCCACTCTGCTGAAAACTTTCCCAGGAGGGACCCCCAAATGAAGACAAACCGTGGAGATTAGATGAGGTCAGAGGTCAACAGTGGCCCTACCTGTGTGCACAAGCCTGCCATGGATTATCTACAGACCTTTTACCTTTTGGTTAGCAAATTTGTCAGTCTTTACAGTGTGCCACATGTACAGATGGGCCTATATGGCTTTTATTTTATTCATGAGTTGAGCTTTCTGCAAGATGAAATGGATTTTCCGTGTGTGAATTTGCATATGAGAAGTTTGTGCAGATAGGTACATGTACATGGCTGTCAGTAAGCCACTTGTGTAGTTTTTCCACATACCTTTACATGTTCAAAGTGATCGGTTTGAAAGAAATGTGACCCA